AGAAATGCAAATGGAATTTGTCCAACTGTAACAGAGCTGTCAAGGAAAAAAAGGGTCATTCAAGCAACTTGGTGGAAAGGAAAAAGAATCAACAAATAATATATCTCTCTTTCCTCCACTTTTGAAGTGGTGGGCTCATTCCGGTAACCATTTACTCTTCAAGAAGATACGTCTTCTTAAGGGAAATTAGGAAGCAGCATGAACTAATAGTATTGTTATCAAAATAGGAATTAGTTTGCCTAAATCTTTTGGAGATGAACTCTGGGACTTTGATCAAGTCAGTATGTGCCATGAAGCTAGTGCTAACGCTTAGTGACATATATACAGACCAACTCCAGAATGATCTGTCCTTAATTTGGCCCTGCTGGTCTTCCAACATTGCTCTTGTAACTGAATCCATCCATCTTTTTCTTGAAGATTCTCATCTTTTCTTTCCTTCCCTAATTTCCCAGCACTATGAACTACTCAAGAAAACTAGGTATTTGAATATTGTCCCAAAACATGATAATTTGAGCCTCATCATTTGTGCCTAGAATTAAAACTCTGAGTTGAATTGTGCTATGATTTGTTTCTTTTCTAATACCAAAGTTGAAAAGCATCAATATTTCTTTTATTCTGCTTCTTCAGAGCCCGACCTCAGTGTTACGGAAAAACCATTCATTGCCTGGCTGATTCTAATCTTTGTAGGAATAGACACATCAACACCATCTGAATATATTTTCCAAGGTCTTTATTGCTGTTCTGTTCAATGTTGGTCTCCAACCTATTTCTTGCCTCTCAGTTCCTTTACTATTGATAGTTAATCCTAAAAGGCAGAAACTATTCACTACTACAAAATCATTACCAAAATCATTAATGCATTAAACAACTGTCCACCAAGTGTAATTGATACTATTTGCTCATTGAATTCATTGTACCAGAATACTGTTTTTACTATATCATTTCTGATTATGACTCTTCTTGTTTTTCATATCCTGGGCAGTAAATGGAAGGATCTTCTCATCAACAGTGACCACTATCACTCTATTTCAACTGATGGGTATCTAAAAAATCAATTTCAGTGTATTTGCTGCAGCTAACTTTGTATGTGTTTTATCTTTATAGACCTAAAAGTTTCAATATACCGCTGTAGGATGTGCAACTGTTTTAATTCAATGTAGCAAGCTGACTTCAACAAGCCATGTGGGTTAGAAAACAGAGACCCTATGCTTTGTGTAGGAGATGAAGTCTCAGTTTACAACAATGCCAGATACGAAATGCCCCAACTGTGCCATCATCTCAGAA